GTGGTGATTAGCTTCGTTCCGGCAGCTTGCAAACTGAACTCTCTTTGAGTATACTGGGCAGTAGTAACATAGATGTTAATTACTTTATTTGTAGTCTAACTGAAGCTCCCATGTGAATGTGCGAATGTGCATTTCATGGCATGACTGAGCATTCATCCATGATTAAATATGCAGAAAGCGTAGGCGATATGGGGACACATAATAGATGCAATCATTCACCATGCACGAATGAGAAGAGCTACCATCTCGTCGCGCTTAGAAGCTTCTTAGCTAATGTAACAAAGAAGAGTGTACTTCCCTTTTCATACTCAAAGTGGATATTAAAAGCGGATGTACTAGGTCTCGAAAGTGTTTTCGTCTTTTAACGGCTGCCACGATTCGCAGAAACAGAATTTATGAGACATCTTGACAGCACTCGATGCGTTTTTTCATTCTCAAAAAAAAAATTCAATAAAATTTGAGGCCCGTCTTTTCGCTATGGTCAAGTTCCGCTAGTGATTTTGGTTTTCTTATACTAATCCCCAAAGAAGCTCAAGTAGCATATGAGAGAACCATACAGGATACAAAACAGCTTTCTTCCCTTAGCTTGCTTTTCAAGATGTTTGAACTTATTTTTCTGATGCTATTACACATTTGGTCCACTTAGACCTCATAAAACATCTAAGAGGAGCAAATGGGGTGTATCTCGATGCAACTTTTTCTCCTCTTTTCAAAAAGATTTCTTTGTACACTTCTAAGAACAAAATCACAGTAATTCATGTTTTTGAACGCACATTAGAGTGTAACTATTAAGTTTAAAATTTGGTAATTTGAATCCTCAAACGTTCATTTGCTTCGTTTAGTGTTAAACCATGACGCACCTTCAAAAGTCTTAAATTTCAGTATTTTACTGGTGTTTGACGCTTTTGTTCAGGCGGATATGCTGAATTCGGTAGTTTTCTTACAAATTCTTTGGAAAATTTTAAGAAACTAAACAAGCCACGAAAAGAAAAAAATTTGCTTTGTATGCTGTGGAATTGATCTATCCACCCGTTATTTAAATTTTGGGAAATTAGTATAAAAATTTTTGATAGCGGAAATTAACCATGGCAAAAAGCAAGGATTTTTGATTTTGGTGATTTTTAGGAGCTGAATTATTGCACTGCAATGAAAACATCTTCTAAAAGAGAATGAAAAGATGCATATGCCGCAAAAATCTTCTCATCTTTCTTCCAGCTGCTTGCTTATATAACGATAGACACACTGTTTTTTCTCTAAAATTTCAGAAAAATCCTTCGAAGCATGACAAAATAAGCAGCTTTTTTTACTCTTGCATGAGTGAATGATTGCGTCTATTATGTGTCGCCATATCGCCTACGCTTTCTGCATATTCAACCATGGATGGATGCTCAGTCATGAAATAAACATTCGCTCATTCAGGGAGCTTAAGCTAGACTACAAATAAAACAATCAATGTTACCACTGTCAATTATACTCAAAAAGAGTTCCGTTTTTGAACTGTCGGTCCTGAAGAAGCTAATCATCAATCTCCAAAAAAACATAAATGCTCGCTCGAAGTGACCTTTTCAGGTGGAAAGTACACCTGAAGGGCATAAATTTGCCGATCTCAAATCTGTCTTCCTTATCTGCTGAGCATTCTTGCACAAGGAGTTATAAGCGTTTTCTGGCGCAAAAAATTGAATGCTCTGAGAAAATTTCGGCTTAAAATTTTTTAATGCTCAAATAAGGTAGCAAAGTGCTTATTTATCTCATCTAAAAGTATTAATTGCATAAAGGGTTCTGGTAGTAATCACGGCTCCATTTAAGCGCTAAAAAATGTTACGATTAGTTTTATCCTAAATGTAAACTGGATTTTTTGCCCCATTAAGCGCTCATAACTCCTCTGCGGGAACGTTTCGCAGATGTTGAAGACAGATTTGGAATCAGCGTTTTAAACGCTTCAAAATTACACACATCATATCTCAAAAGGTCACTTCATCCAAACATCCTTCCCTTGTTAGTGATTCACTGCGTTTATATCCTCACGAAGTTGTTTCTCTCCTTCATCGCCTCCGCATGGAATCTGAGCATAGACACTTGCAGCTCTAGGGCAACATCTCCTTGCCACAAAGCTTGGAAATGGTGTTTGTATTGAGATAGTAATTTCTGCTAAGTGAATGAAGTCGTGTGGAAAACTTTAAAGTTCTCAATATATTTAACAGGAAATAAATCTGTGGTTGTCATGTGGAGCGTATGAAGCTTTCAAGATCATTGGCAAATTTTCAGTAATCTAAGGAAAATTGGACTACATGATTTTGAAAAACAGCTTTGTTTTAGTCACTGAAATGTGTTGACTTCGCTGAGGATGCGAGTTTGGGAAAATCGAAGTTTTTTTTCAATTAAGTCAAATCTTCTCCGAAAATTTTAAAAGGTAAAAAAACCAGTGGGAAGATCTTGACAAAATCCACAGCGGCGTGTAAGTCCAAGAGTACTGTAAAACCAGGAGTGGTAGTAATTTGGTCGAAACCAACAAATGATGTGATAGTTCAATCATGGTTACATCGTGGTAAGCATGATCATCTTTTCACGGCCACTCAGTTCAATCGGTCATACAAAATCATGAAACAAGCAAGTAACTAGCAGAAAACCATAACTGTTTCATGCTTGTTTCATTCTAAACCAAACTATGAGTTAAACAGCAGGTTAACACCATTGTTCCCTTATCAGATAGAGTAATGAAAACAGCACTTCATTTCATGAGACGCAGACGTGAAGCCACCACATCATAGTTTAAAATGAAAAAGTACCCCCGACCACTTTTTCGTTTCAAACAATGATGTGTTGGTTTTGCAAGTTAAGAAGAGTGAGGGAGATCATTCTGCAACTTACTATGAAAAAACTTACTTGTTTACAGCTTAGATAAGGTTATAGGAAGCTGCAAGGCTGGAAACTGCACTGCAAATTTGGTAAAGTGCAATGATTGCCGACAAGCATGAGAATGGTTAAAGTTTCGATCTCCTCCAATGACTTTGCTTTGCAGGATAGCATTTCGAGGCTTCCTATTGGTTAATTCGTGGTTTCGTTGGGAAAATGATGTGAAGCTGCTGGTTAGCTGGTGTCATGAAAACACAGTTAACATGATGGTTTCGACCAAATTACTACCACTCCAGTCTTCTCGCAGTGGTAATGGCAGAACAAAGCCTTCGGAATTATTTCAGATTTTTTTTTACCGGGACCACCAAACTGAGACGATGACGTGCATTTTTGATACTTTAAAGGGGAGGATAATGGTTTGAAGTAAGAATTGAGAGTTTGATCACATCCAATAGCATTTATGCGGGGGAAATGATGCTTAACAACACAAGGTTGTTTCCACTGTTGCTTTTAACCATGGGCAATTTTTTCCACTCTCAGCCTAACTGTGATTTTAGGGTCGGCTCCAATTCATCTACGAAATGTAGCAATCTATTCAATCACAAAAATCAGAAAAACTTACGAGCTTTATGGGTGCCCGTTTTAAGCTTACTACAAGATTATTGAAGAGGCAGAAAAATTGAAAATTTATATTCACATTAACATGTATTGGAAGCCATAGTTCAAAGCCATTTGTCCGTCCTGGGTTAAGTTGGTCAGCCATGCCCCGGTAAGTATTACCAGCCATTCGCGTCCGGGAATGGGAAAAGCATCTCGGCGGGGCTCCCCTCACCTTCAATGGATGGAGAAAGACCAGGGGCGCTATGTATCAATTGCAGGATCGTGTGCTGGTTCAAGATCTGGCAATTACACGATCTTGAACCAGCACACGATCTGCCGAGGCGCCCGCGATGTATCAATGTGTGCGCAAGATCGCGTAGTTACATGATGTGCGGTGTCCGTGTGCGCCAAGAACCCGAACTGGCGCATAGCGAGTGACCGTGCTGGCGCCAACGCGAAGTGACGCCGTAGACTCACTTCTCGTAATTTTTGAGTGTGATCACTCTGTTCGCGTCGAATTTTCTCATTGTTTTTATTGAAGCCCAAAATCAATGATTGTAATTTTGATAATGATCGTAAATATCATTATTATCGTCGGCTACAGCTGACAAAAAAGAACTTTTCTTTGTTGAATGGATTCCTTCGAAATGGAGCTAGGAAGATTGATGTAATCAAAAAAGAGTATGTGGGCCTTAATTTGTCATGGTTTTGCTGAAACTCCCTACTCGTAATTGCAAAAATGTTGCTATCCAACCACTCACAGCTTCTAGTTACGATTGTAGCTCGTGGAGCCAGTGTGGTTGAGATCCCCATTTAAATGTGTGGGTGAACTAGCTGACTAGTTATATCAGACCAGCACGTTTCAAAAACAGATCCTTTCCACCTTTCAGATTCTTGACCAAAATAGGATGGAGATTTTTTTGATTTCAGCAATTTAGCGCAGAAAAAACTCAGCATGTCCACCCGAACCTCATGCTGGCAAATCGTCTACATTCTATGTTTCCAAGCAGTTATTTTTTGAGCGTAATCTTGATTGCGACACAGTAGTTCTAGAGCATTCTGAAGTTACAATCTGTGTCAGCTAAGTGCTACCTCTCAGATTAGCTCGACTGCAACGCTAGAATCCTTGCCGCGTCCGCGGGCATACCGTCCGAGCTTTCAAATATGCCGGATCGATGGAGGATCGCAGCGCTATGCCTACGCACCGCGGATGCTTGGTTGCGCGGAAAAGGGAGCACGATTGACACAAATTTTATGTTCAGATGCGATATTTAACAATGCAAGAATCGTAATATTCATCAAACTACAAAACAAAATTTTTCAAGCAAAAAGAAAAGATTCTTCCTTCTCTTCCACAAGTTCTTGCGATGGAAAGAAAAGCACAGATTGAAATTTAGCTGAAACAAAAATTTTAGGCGTATTGGGTATCGGCGTGGGTAATAGTCAAATGATAACTGCTTACCTTGCTGAACTGACCAGCCCTGATACACCACAAAAGTGACGAACAAGAGCAACATAAAATGCCTCACTCGTTTCATTCACCCTTCATCCACATCGTACTAAAGATCAGCAAAATGTGACGGAGAGTGTTACGAAGCTGTTGACCTGGAGATATTAACTTATTGTTAGAAGTGAGAGCTGACAACGGGATTGATTTCAAAGGCAAAAAGGGGAAAAAGATATACTGCGGAGGCTGATAGCTGCTAAGGTTTTCCCTAGCATCTATATCCTTCCAAGATTCTCATATTTTTACAGCATATCGATCTTCAAAAGCATTAGTTCTGCAGAGATAGCAGAAATGTGAAAAAAGGGTGAAATATATACCATCACAACTCCAGTAAAGAGATGAGATCAAGCTACAAATCAAATGAAAAAGCTAGTTTTTTCGGCGCACATTTTGGCTAACTCCCAACATATTGCCTACAGCCTGCATGCCATTAGCATCTTTCTGCAGAATACCTCTAAATCCGCAACACCCTTGCGGACCAAGAGGCGATGAGGCAGATTTGAACGCCAAACGTAGGCGCACGAACGACATGTGATGAATTAGGGCCGGACTGACACAGGCTGTAGTAAGCTCACACAAGAACTTATGAGAAAAGCTAATTAACCGAACAATGTTAGGGTGAACTTAAAGGCAGCGTCCAGGCAGATTTGGACGTATGGGGCTCTAACGTGGAAACATTTTCGGGGGTCTAACTAAGATACTGCCCAAGCGGCAGCGCAAACGGTGCAGTCGCGGCTGAGAAATTCGTCCGCAAACCAGCCCCCGTGACCGTATTCGCATGGATTCATGGCTCGGCACCATCGTTTCGCGTGGATCCGAGCGCGAAAGCGCCACGAGTCCATGCGAATACGGTCACGGGGGCTGGTTTGCGGACGAATTTCTCAGCCGCGACTGCACCGTTTGCGCTGCCGCTTGGGCAGTATCTTAGTTAGACCCCCGAAAATTGTTTCCACGTTAGAGCCCCATACGTCCAAATCTGCCTGGACGCTGCCTTTAACCATCAAATGACTATTGGGGCTCACACAGTCGTGAAGGAATGAGGAATAACGTAGTAGACATTTCTTTTGGCACATTTTCGCCTTTCGATCTTCACCTTTTACCGCTGATCTCGTCATTCTCTGCAAACAAATGTACATTTGATGATAGGGATTGTTGTTGAGATTCAACAGTTGAATCGGAAGTACTCCAGCGACCAAATCGTTTTTTTTTATTGGGATTTTTCAAATGGTCCAAAGCCTCGGATATAGTTCACGTTCTCGTCGCCTCGCGTTTTTCGCAACAGACAACTGTTAGGTGTGCATTGCATAGCGATCCCCCCGCACTTCGGTTGTGATAGTTTTACGACATGACTGTGAACTATCGCAACCGAAGTTAATGCACCAGGTGTAGACGCGTAGAGTTGCCGGTCGGGAGAATAAAGGGAAGAAATAACGTGAACTATGCTTGAGGCCTAAATGGCTGGGCATACATCATGCGATTTCATCGCCTCGCGATTCAACCAACCAGACAACTGCTACCAGTTCACTGCATGTGTACCACCTTGCATTTCGGTTGTGATAGTTTTGCAGCACGACTAGTTGAGACTAACTATCAAACCGAAATGCAAGATGGACAGCATGCAATGAACTCGTATCTATTGTCTTGTTTTGAAAATCGCGAGGCGAAGAAATCGCGTGATGTATGCTCATCAAGGCGAGGATGCAATGGGAGAAAGGAAAAGTTCAAGACAGAATTTAAATATCAGTCATGATTACTAGCATTTACCTTAAACGATGGCAGATTAAAAAACAGTGTATTTCGATTTTGAATTTGATATGGACTGTCGCCATATACGCAGCAGCCCACCATTGCATCATATCAAGACCTAAATTTTTTCAGTGGACTAAATAAAACTGAGCATAACAGAAACATAGAGCAACTGAACTTTTAATCGCGACTCACATTATAATCAGCTCATATTCATGCCAGTGCATCCTGTTGACGAACTGAAATAAAAGCAACTCAGAACGAAAACGGTTGCATGAAAAAACGAAAAGCACGACAAAGATGGGACTTTTTGTTGAGAAGGACAAGAGAAGAGATGATCGTTTGTGGGTGAAATGCGAAACACAAACATCAGATGCAAAACACGGATGAAAATTCATCAAAGAAGAACGAACGTGAAGATTTATGGCTAAGCAAAAGGTGGCGTCCTAGGTCCTAGGCGTGCACGAAACATTGGGACGTGATGACACAGCGCATTTTCGCACGTCACATGGAGAGCCTACGATCTGTCGTGTAGCAGCGCACGATCTCGACAGATCGTGTGCTGCTACACGATCTTGTAGCAAGATTGTGTGCTTGATACGTCGCGAGATCGTGTGCTCGCACCTGATCATGGGCATGTTTTCAACGCTAGCGAGCACACGATCTCACGATCGTGCGATTGATACATAGCGCCCCGGATCAGCCCAGCAAAGAGATGTGATCGAAAATTCATTCAATGGTTATTGTTGTTTTTTTTTCTGATCAATTTTTGGCGCACTTGTGTGTATTTAAATAAATAAATAAATAAATAGTTGTCTAACATACAACATGTACGAAGCCCCCATTGAGATCACTCGCGAAATGTCAGCCAGGAAATAACTTCTATGAGAAAAAATTGCTTTTGGATCATGGACTTTGTATTAAAACATAGTACTACTAAGCTGTTTTTGGAATATACTTCCAGTTTATTGCCCTTCCTCTCCCCTCCCGATTTTCTGTTCTTCAGATATGCAGCTCAAATGTTCTTCGTGCAAAAAAGCGAATTTTTCTCATGATTGCTCAAATCCACCCAATAAATGCGGAAATTGCTGATTTACGGCCTTCCGGTGCTTGCAAGGCGTTAGGATAAAAATAGTCTAGAGTGGTTATCAAAATGTATTGAGAAGGATGAGCAGCATATTGCTTCACTTTTATGCTTTTAGTGGCATTCCTCCTTTTCGTCATATCCTTTCTCTTAATTTTCTATACCATAGATGCAGAACAAGCGTTATTAGTGCAAAAGCACAAATTTTTTCTCGCTTGCACTCTAATTTGCCACCAACCTTGATGCTAAAAAGTGTGGATATGGTTAAAAATGGGTCCTCTCCTTGCATATGCAAGAGGAATTGAGGGGGAGGAAAGATTTTCTGCGATAATCCATCTTAAGGATTTTCTGCAAAAAAAAACGCACACACATTTAGATGTTAGAGAAGCTTAGCATAGTATGTAATCTCAGGATTCTCCTACTCTTTCCATCCTCACATTATCTGATGCTTACGCGAATATGGTAACAATCAACCACATCATGACATCGTGGTTAAAAAGGAGATTTACAAATTTGCAATCAGGACGGAACTAGTCATAAAAGGCTCTGCAGATCGAAAGAGAGTTGTGGAAATTTTGAGCAGACACAGTGACAGAGTGAGGTAAAAATGTAGCTTGAATATCAAAAAGAAGTATGTATTACCTAACCAATTGTTTTCCTGTCCTATTCCGGCAAAGACGCTAACACATTCGCTGGTTGCATGAAGAAATTGTCGATGTTTATTATTGCGACACTGCATGCAGGAAAAATTTAGATTTTTCTTCTACTCGGAACGACACAATTTGCATAATTTAGAAATCTCCCCCTCTTTCTCCTCAAATTTTTTCTTCTCCAAAAAAGCATTTTTCACACGAATTCCGACCTTTCAGAACTACATTTGACTATTTGTCCGATCTCTTTTTGTCTATTTTTCCTCCCTTGAATAAAGTGCAGAACTTTTCCTTATGAATCATTAATATACTCTTTTTCAAGAGCAAATAGCCCCATGTCAGAGTGGCAATTATGTTTTGAGCTATAAAAATTCAAGAGACATGTGTTTGACATCTACAAACTGGCTGCCGTGGTTCTTGAATATGAATAGTTACACAGTTTAACAAAACGAGGGAAAGTCATTTGTTGAACATCAAAGCTGATACATGTTAACCCTGTAGGGTAACGGGTGATTCATTATACTTACTTGCTACACACGAGGATAAACACTATGTAGATGTAAACACCCTGACTACAAATCTCTAGCATACCAGCATTCAGTGGTCCAGCAACAAGCCTATGATTGTCCCCTATCGATTGTTTTCGCGCACGCTCTTGTTTTGTGTACAAATTCACTTGTAACCATCAATCATTCTCAGGAGAGGATACAACAGCAAAAATTTTTATTCACATTGAGCATGAGTTTTGACTTGAGACATTTAGGATGGATGCATTAATGAGTGCTCCTTGGCCACTGAAATGCACATCCAAAAAAACCTTTCGTATACTTTATATCGAAACCTAGAACTGCTGAAGTACACATGATGGCTGTTGATTTGAGGGCAACTAAAATATCACCATTAGAAACTGCATAGTATTTACATTTTCGGTATGTGCTTCTGATCAGAGCTATTTGGAGATTTGAAAAAAATGTGTTGGCATGAGTTTATCGCAGACGTAAAATGAATGCTTCATCTAGTGCTCGCTGCATATTGGAATGCACAAAACTAAAAAGTAAATTTCTCTTTTTGTCAGTGAAAGCTGACTGCACTTTGACGTCAAAGACTTGTGAGATCCTTCAGATTTTCCCCCGTTCGTTCATTGCATTCTACCTTTCAAGCTATCATCTGCTAACAGAGGTATAACGGCTTGACTTCTATATTGGCAGAGTTGTTCACATTTTACATATCGCAATGTCTAACTTGGAAATTATGTATGTGAAGACCTACTTACTGGCACTTAGGCTCGATTCTTGCGTTATCTTTATGTTCAAACTACACTTTCATGCAGTCAAAGCAGCATTCTCATCAATTTTAAACTTAGTGACCAGCTTATTTTTCTCATTTTCTGGTCACTAAGTTTCTCTATAATTTTCTCTCATAAGACCACATTGAAGTTGGTGCTTATTTATGAAGGAAAAAACTGGCTCAAATCAACGCAACCTAGCCAATTTTTCATTATGAAACAACGAAGATAATTTTCGCTTGAAAGAAGATTTTTCTTAGATCTTCACATTTTCTTGACATTTCGACCAGAATAACGTTTTATAGGCAACTCTTCATCTCTCTCTAAAAAAGTCAGACGTATTAGATTGAATAGGAAAGACAATGCTAAAAACATCACATCAGTCCCGTTAGTGCTGCTTTGTGAAAGACAATGGACTCCTGCCAAAGTTGTTGAGGTACGACAGCTTGCACCTTGCGGAGTACGTGAAACAGAAAACTCATTTCAGTTTTTTGCGAACGCAAGATTTCGGTAAGTAGCACAATGAGACTCCTAGAACATCAGCAATCAAAAGTGATAGTGTTTTTTGCAAACGCTACTAGTTTTCAAGTTTCAGCTAGAGCAGCAGATTTTGTTGAAGATACATGCTAAAGAATGACCTGATACGTCTCGTAATGTATAACGTTTATGGCAGTCACTTTAGGAGAGACATCAAAAGGTATGAATGCGCAGAAGCCCCTTCCAGTATTTGTCTAGATTACGTTGAAGCCCCTCATCCTAAGTGAACTGTGGTGGTATGACGCGCACTGTACCCTCAGACCAACAACAATTGCTTATAATCTGCAGAATGAAACATAGTGATGGTAGGACTCATCCAAACGTGGACAAACGTTTTATACTTATGGTTTCATGGCGAGTAAGGAATGAATTCAGGCTTTAGCTCGCCTCCTCGGACTACTAGACCGTTCGTGAATGCTAATTTATATTTTATAGAGACAATAAGTTCGCCATGATGTCGCTCGCTCCACCTCAGCCGTAAAAAAATTTAAATAAACGCACCGAAATGAAGTGCGAGAAGAGTGAATTTAGCTCAAAATACTCTAGGTTTTGCTAGCATTAAAGGATGAAGTTCTTATGCTAGTATTCAACTGCAGTTTATGCAGAATGACGATGCGCAAGAACAAGGCGTTGATTTAGGTTAAGATCATTCGCTTCTACAAAAAATCACTATGTCGTATTTGTGGACTACCATTGGTTAAAAACGATTTTATTGTTCTCTTTTCAATCCTACTGGGCGCTTTGTGTGCATATTGATATGCAGAAACCAGTGGTACAGGCATTGTCTTTGTAAGTTGTTTAGATACCATTTTTGTAACTTCTTTACGAATAATTCCAAGTTCAATTTGGTGACCTTCACATCTTTTGTAAAACACATCTTTTTCACACTTTTATTTTGCGATCACTCTCAGTAACATTGTTATTACTATGCACAAACTGAGACAAATGATACGATTATTTAACGTTTAACCTTCGTATGAGTAGAGAAAAAAACAAGAGCAATTTTCTGTTCAACAAACCAAACATGACTAAGCAATGTCGAGTAATCAAAATTACCCTAACATCAAAACAAAAAGCCTGAGATGGAGATCAAAATGGAGGGAAACCGCTAAGCTGAGAAGAAAGAGGGAAAAGATAAGACAATAGAATGATCACTTGAGCCATTTCTAGTACCAAAGGTGAAGCATTGTAGACTATACCGCGTACTAGTGAGTATACCAAATTGTCGAGCAGTAAAGGGGTTTTGATTACAATCACTCATATGTGCGTCAACCATATGAAAAGACTAGAAGGGCAGGAGCAATGGTTTGGAGGCTTGAAGCTGCAGCTGTCGTGCGCAGGAGAGCCTCCTCAAAGGGCCTCCTCAGAGGAAAAGCGATTCATCTTCCTCCATGATTGTCGTCAAGGGTTTTCATTGTAGGACCGAAGAGATAAGAGTGATGTTCTAAAATTTTTTATCCATGTTTTATTCATCTAAAAAACACTCAACTTCAGTGTGCCATTTTCTTAGAGAAAGCTTAGCCGTGGCCTTATTATAGATCAACGCCTTTGTTCGGATTTTATAAGAAATATAGACAGCTAAAGCTTACTTTGCTGTTGTTGCTTCCTTCCTTACGGTTCGTATACGCTTTCAAGGATTGTACTTGCACTAATTGTAAGAAGAAGAGCATGAGTACAACATTGTC